TTGGAAGTTACTGGAAGAGAAAAGACTAAATCTGTAGAGCAAGATAACGATTGACTGATGACTTAAAAGATTGCAAATTATATGAATCGGGAAAGCAAGATGAAGGAAGCGAATTCCAAAGAACTGATGTTCGAGGAAAAAAACTAGAAGAATAAGAGTTTTTGAAGCACTTAGGAACAGTCACAGAAAAAGGATGAGACTTAATTGAATGGCGAGTAACACGAGAATGAATTTTAGTAGATGGCACAAGGGAAGCTAGCTCTTTAGAGCAGTGCCCATTATAGTATTTGTAGAAAAGAGAAAGAGAAGCAACATTACGACGATGTGACAAAGGTTGGAGATTGGCTGCCAGAGCAGGTCCAACTATGTTTACAATTCGTTTTTGCACCTTGTCTAAAAGAGAAAGAGCATCATTAGAAGATCCGCCCCAGATGTGGCAACAGTATTCCATACAGGGACGGATTTGAGATTTATAGAGATAGAGAATAGAATCTGGAGTAAGAAAGTGTCGAGCTCGATAAAGAGATGCAACCTTAGCAGATGCTAATTTTGCAATGGATTTGATATACGGTTTAAAACAAAGATCAGAAGTAAGAGTTAATCCTAGAAGATGAATGGTAGATGACTCATCTAGTACATTACCATTCATAAATATAGGAAGATCTAAATTATTACGATAACGTTTGGCCAAATAAAATTGAGTTTTATCTGAATTAAAGTTCACCAGCCACTGTGAGCCCCATGCTGAAGCAGAAGTGAGATCCTTTTCAAGCTCAGATACCCCCTCCAAGCAATCAGAGAGTGTAGGCTTCTTATCATGACAAGAGTAAATGGTAGTGTCGTCAGCGAATAATGCCACCTTAGATGTGAGAATATCTGGGAGATCGTTAATGTAAATTAAAAAGAGTATAGGGCCAAGGATTGAACCTTGAGGAACCCCTGAAGTTACAGGATGTGAAGAAGAGTGTGGTCCATCGAGGACAACTTTTATACTACGATTGGAAAGAAAGGACTCAATAATCTTAAAGACGTTACCAGCTACACCATAAGAAGAAAGCTTATGGAGAAGACCAGCATGCCAAACTTTATCAAAAGCTTTAGAAATGTCAAGTGCGATAGCCTTAACCTCTCCACCTCTATCTAATGCACGGTAAAACCTATCGGTTATTACTGTTAGCACATCAGCTGTAGAACGAGAAGACCGAAATCCATATTGATGATCAGAAAGTAAGTTATTTGATTCAAGATGAGAGATTAAGTGTTTGTTGATTAAAGATTCAAAAACCTTGCTTATGACAGGAAGAAGACTAATGGGACGGTAGTTAGATGAATCAGATCGCTCTCCGGAATTTTTGAAAATAGGGATAACAGATGCTGCTTTCCAGCATGATGGAAAACAAGACTCTGATAAGCACTTGTTAAATAGTTTAGAAAGTATGGATGAAAGCTCCGGAGAACACCTCTGCAAAACTACAACAGGAATGTTGTCAGGACCACAAGCTGTTGAAGAGTCTAAGCAGGAAATTACTTTAGATACAGAAGCTGAAGTGATGCGAATGTCAAGCAAGGGATCAACCTGTTTGACGGCTATGTCAGGTAAAACGAAACTAGTGGAATCAAGAGATGATATTGATGAAAAGTTCTTAGCAAACAATTCAGCTTTGTCTTTAGGTGAGGTGACAAAGTCTGAACCATACAAGAGAGAAGGAATAACAGATTTGCCCTTATTATTGATACTGTTAAAGATTCTCCAGAAGTCTCGAGAGCCTAATTTTTGTGATGAGATACGAGATTTAATGACCTGGGAATAGCGAGCTTTGGCGTCAGACAAAACCTTTTTACAATGGTTTCTGGCGATAGTGAACAGATGTCTGTTTTCTGGAGAATTGTTTTGCTGATAGATATGGAAGTAATGGTTTCGATTAGAAATTGCTGCAGCGCAATGTGAGGAAAACCAAGGAGAAGAGTGAGGCTTGACCTGGAATCGTCGAGAGGGAATAAAAGATTCCATGCCAGCCTGAATCCACGAAGTTATGTAAGAAGCACATTTGTCAGCAGGAAGACGAAAGATTTCTACCCAAGGGCCATCACGAAGAAAATCACGGAAAGAGTCCCAGTCAGCTTTAAGGTAGTTGTATGTGGTACGATGATAGGGGGATTCTGATGAAGTAGAAGAATTTGATAATAGTTTTAGAGAGATCAAACCGTGCTCAGAAGTACCTAAGGGTGAATGTGGAGAAATTGAGCACTGACTAGGATCCAAAACAAGACATAAGTCGAGTAGAGAAGGTAAATGATTAGGGTTGTCTGGAAAACGAGTTGGAAAGTTGACTATTTGAGTTAGAGATTGAGAAAGGCAAAAGTTGAGGGCCTTAACGCCAGCAGAGTCACTGACACTAGAGCCAAGCCAATCGGTGTGATGGGCATTAAAGTCACCAACAACGACGATATTGGCCGATGGATAAAGAGAGAGGGCTTGGTCAATTTGATCAGAAATAACATCAAGAATAGTGCAATCTTGGGATGAAGGAGAGCGATATAGAACAAAGAGAAAGGCGATAGAGTGAAGTTGTGCTAAACGAAAGCACATAAATGAATAGTCTGTAGATTCAAACCTAGTTTCACGACAAATGGTTTAACTTAACAACGAGATTTTGAACTGTGCACTTAGATAAATTAAGAGAAATGGAAATGCTTGTTGTAGATTCGTTTCTTACAACTAAATGCTTAGTCATTTCAATGTGCTCTTTTGTAACATTTTTTCTTATTTTTTGATTGGCATTACTATTTTCTCTTCCATTCATAGGGTAAATATTTGTGTATTAATAATAATTACAAATAATTAAATTTAAATCTAGATAATTGAATAATTTGATTAATAATAATTTATTCAATCAATAAATTTAATAATAAAATTAAACAAAGTTTAAAAAGACCTAATACTAAATTAGGTAAGAAAAAGAGGGTAGATTGTACTTTAAATAAACCATCATCGAATGTAAAAAATTTTTCCTCTTAACTATTTTTAACCTCATTTACCAGAAAACAAGGACAATTTATTTTGAAAAACTGTACTTTTTTAAAACACATAAGAATGAATAAATACGCATTTAAGAATGAACAAATATGCATATATGAATGAATAAACATACATATAAAAAATAGGTGCGCACATAAAAATGAATAACCCTGTAATAATGGTCTTTTAATTCTCTTTAAACAAATAAAAAACTATAATATAATATGTCAATAATTACAACACTTACCCGTGAATAACTGTTACAGGGTAATTTTTATTACACAGCTGTTGAGCTATTTTTATAGTTTCTTTAATAGTTTCAACAAAAACAATAGTTTTATTATTTTGCGATAGTTCTTTAACAATTTGATTTTCTAATATTTGAAACTTTAATTCTGGTTTATCTACCAATAAGAATGTTTGAATTATGGATTTTGGTGAGGTCAGGTTGTTACCAATATCTACATGACAGTACGTATCATTCAAAAACATGCAAACAGTGTCAGTAAAAAAAGCTAGTTTTTTTTTAGCTCCTTTTTGATCATGCATTATTTGAGTAGTTGGTAGCGTTGCACAAAATAAAGCAGTCTGTCGTAGAGCTTTTTCAGGCATATCAAAGCAATTCACCAATATTTCTATATCTCTAACAAAGTTTTTATCTAGCATATGATCTCCCTCATCAATAATAAGTACCTTGAGTTCTTTTAGTGAGAGCTGAAAAAAATAAATTTTGTTTTTTTTAAAAAGTTACTCAACACAAAAAATACTATTGTTAACAAAAAATCTTTACCATTTGTTCTTCAGCAAGATGAAGGATTCTCCCAAGGGTTCCAATAAGTATATCACAACCTTGTGCAATTTTTTTCATCTGATCTCTAATACGTATCCCACCATAGGTACATACTACCTTAATACAGGTATTTTCTGTTAACAATAAAGCTTCTCTTTCAATTTGTAAAGCCAATTCTCGTGTTGGAGTTAAAATTACAGCAAATGGATTTTTTTGTAGTTCTGTTTTTTTTGCAGAACCTGCAGTTTTTACAGTTTTTTTCTTAATCAAGGTTGAAACAATTGGTATTAGAAATGCAGCCTGTGCCAAAAAAAAAAATACTTTAAAAAAGATGAACAAATATTTATGCTTAATTTTGAGATCTTGCTCTGTATTTTTATAAACATTTTATCTATTATATATAAATTTTTTATTTTGTTAAATTTTATTTGAAATTTATTCATTTGCAGAGTGCAAATGAGCATAAGGTTAAAGTCTAAACATTAATCAGAATATTAAAACTTAAAATAAAAAGCAAACTTAACTAAAAAAATACATAAACTGCTTTTTTTTTCTTAAAGTAAGAGAAGACTATTTATATTTAAAATGATTTTTCATTATCAATTAAATTAACTTATTATCCATTTATAAATGCAATTTGTCATAAAATTTCATTCAAATTCTAAGATTTGTAAAAAAGCTTTCCAACTAAATGCAGCATTTTTATACGGTATTATAAAAAGCAATACTGTTTAGAGCTTTTATTTGTAAATAATGGCCAGGACTTACATTTAAAAAAAAACAATGGAAAAAAAAACAGAAAAAGATTTGCATAAGCAGCAAATGAAGGTTTACCAAAATTTACTTACTGAGCATGCTAGCAGATAAATATCCTTTTGATTTTATAATACTAAAATGGAATGTTAAAAAACTTAGAATTATTTTAAAAACTCAAAGAAAATTCGAATTTGGCACCAGACTCTCGAGTCCCTAATAAAAGGGGGGGGGCAATTAATAATTTTTGGATATTTTTCCCATCCACACTAAGCTTATTAAGACCCCCCTTCCGTCTCTGTTTATCAATTTTTACTTGTTATCAAATAAAAAAAATAAAAACCAGTGTTTTTGGCCTTAAAAATCAGAAAATAATTATTTCAGCCACTTATTGAAATAAAATTTTTCAGTGTAAACAGGCTTTAAAAATCACAAAAGATTTAAATTTATTTAAAAAAATGTTTAACCAACATTTAGACACTATTGTATGTAAAAAAAGGTTAATCGCCATTTATATAATTTAAAGAAATGTTTAATCACCATTTGAGGCGCAAGATGAGATAAGGTACCAAGTCTATATTTCTAGATTCGGAGATATAAGCATTTTGAGCAAGAGAGGTTAAAAATTTGAAATTAAAATTTAACTGCTAGAAAAGACAATATAATCAATTTCAAATTTTTCAACCTCTCTTGCTTAAAACACTCTATCTCTGAATCTAGAAATATAGACTTGGTACCTTATCTCATCTTGCGTCTCATTTGTATAGTTTTAAAGAAATGTTTAATCGCTATTTATTTAATTTAAAGAAACATTTAACCATTATTTATATAATTTAAAGTAATGTTTAATAATTATTTATATGAATTTAATGAAATGTTTAACCATTTATATAAATAAAAAATATGTTTAATCATTATTTATATAATTTAAAAAAATGTTTAATTATTATTTATATAAATTTAAAGAAATGTTTAACCATTTATAAAAATAAAATAAATGTTTAATCACTATTTATGTAATTAAAAAATATTTAATCATCATTTATGTAATTTAAAAAAATATTTAATCACCATTTATATAATTAAAATAAATGTTAAATTACTATTTATGTAATACAAGACATACAATAATAATCAATTTTCACTTTCTTTTGAATATTCACATATAACACATATAGATAATCTAAATGTCTGTCGTATATTTTTTAAATCTTTTTTTAGGTTTTAATTTTAATTAAAAATTAATTAATTAAAAAACAAATAAATTCTAATTTCAAGTTTGAAAACAAATTTGACAGTACTTGGACAATATTAATCATAATTTAACAATATACTATGACAATATTCTTAATAATTTATCAATATACTTTGCCAATATTACTAATAATTTACTTTGAAAAACTAATATTTTAATTTTTTACTTAACAAATAAGCTGTGGTGGGTATTATACAAATTATAAAAATAATATACTTTTTGCTTTTTGTAAAACCAAAAAACGATAATAATAAAAAATAATACCAAACATTAAACAATAAATTAAATTAACTTTATTTTTTATTAACACTGCGTTGTTACAAATATCAAACACATTTTTGTGAGCTAAATTTGCAAACTGTTGCAATCAATACTGTTGCATGCATACTTGATTACTGACATAAATAAATAAAAAGAATCTTAAATAAATTAATAATTATTTAAGTTTAAATTACAAAACCTTAATTTTTGATTTATGGCTAAAATTATTAGGTTTTTTAGAACTAAAACAAAAATAAAGAATTGAAAAAAAATGAAAAAATATTGGAATACCGTTTTTCCTGATCCAGTTTCTGCACGAGCTAATAAATCTTTACCTGCTAGCAATATTGGTATTGAGATCACCTGTACAGGAGTAGGAAACTGGTATAAAAGCTTTTTAAGGTTTTCAATCAGCACTTCTGGTAAGTTAGCATCTCTAAAAGATTTTATTTCACAAATATCTCCAACTCCTCCAACTTTAATTTTAAATGGATCATCATCAAAATGATAGAGTGGTTTTACACGCGATATTTTGGTTTTATACTTTATTATTCTGCATGAACAATTTACTTTTTTGCACTTCTCACAATTAGTTAAACACACAAAACAGTTATATTTTCCGCATGGAGAACATGTATATTGAATGTTATTTGGACCTTGCATATTTAAACCTTAGTAATAAATAAAACAAACTAATAACTGAACATATATATATATATATAATATATATATATATATATATATATATATATATATATATATATATATATATATATATATATATCTACAAATACAGAAATGAATTATTTACCGAAAGGAAAAAATGTATACAATGACATGTCCAGCCCAGTGCCGAATCAAGGGAGGGGCTAGAGGGGGACTATAGCCCTGGGCCCTGCAAATTTAGGGGCCCCCAAAAATTTAAAAGGACCTTTTTTTTTAAAAGTTATTTTTAGATCTGGACCATAAAAAGGCCTCCTAAAACAAAAATAGCCCCGGGCCCCAAGAAGTCTTAATCCGCCACTAATCCAGCCTGACAGCTTTTGGTTTAAAATTTGATCCTAAACTGCTATACATAATTACAGATATAATTTTAGTTCTTTGCATTACAAAAATTAGGGAATTGTATAAAATATAGAATAAAAGTAAATATAATATGCTCCTTTGTCAACTTCTGGATACGCCACTGTAAAAATTAAATAATTAAAAAAAAAAAACTGATAATTTGAACATTAGTTGCGTTAAATTTACAAGAAAGGGTATGAACTTGAGAGACAACAAAAAAATGTTTTAGTTTTCCCATTTAAGCTCAACTGATTGAGCTTTAGTGGTATAAACAAAATGATGTGAAAGTCATACCCAAAACTGCAAATCCTCTAAACTGCACAGAATTGAAAGTTATCAAAAAGTACTACACAATTATTAAACAAAAAATAATAAAAAACAAAGCATAAAAGTTAGAGATTTGAAAAAATTATTTAAAAAAGCATCAAATAGCTTTGATTGTTGTTCTTTGTGAAAGATTATGGGTACTACCAAAGCAAGATTTTGAAATTTTATTAGATGCTTACAGGAATAAATTAATTTTTTTTAAACATTTGATATTAACTATTATTGCTTAGTTTTAAATGTGTATATGGTAAGTCAACACATGCTTAGTTTTAAATGTGTTGAAATAAACAATAACTGAAATAATAAAAAACAAAAGTGGTACTATAATAGACTAATATAGTCTATCAATAAAAGACTATTAAATAGTCTATTAAAGTGTTATAAAATACTTGTTATATGTTTAAATAATAAAAATAGTATTTTTATTATTTGCATCAATTTAATACAATAAAATTTGATAAATGTTTTTAGTTATATAAATTTGTCAAACACTTCAAAAGTGTTGAAAAGTGAACAGTTATTAAAAAAAAGTGTTGAACAGTGGAGCTTTTATTTACTTCAACTATTTTTTACTATTATTTACTTTAACTATTAACTTAAAACTTAACCATAAATTTTATTCAAATAGAGTAAAAGCGTTATTCAAATACAGTAAATTCAAGTAAAGTTTAAACATTTTTCCTTTTCGTTGATAAGAGAATAATAAAGTTTGTATTTTATGTACATTGACTTAAAAAACTTTTTCTTACTTTTTGAAATGTTCCTCACTTTTATAATACAAATGATATTAATTAAATACTAAAACGAGTTACTAGCGTCACTGAAATGCAATTTGATTTCCCAGAATTAATCTTTTCTCGGAACTTTTAACTAAACATTACGTCATTGCTATTCGAATCTAAATGTTATTTTTAAAAAGTGTTTACTATTATTTTAGAGTCCAAAATTGTAAATATTGTCGTTTTACAATTTTTAAACGCGATTTTTGGCATATTTAGTAGAGCCAGATACTTTTATACTGATAAACTTTAATACTTTTATAAATACGATAAGTATGAAGTTTTGTCACGTGACTTTTTATAGTGGAAAAAAAAACCGTTTGTTTTTGAAAAGCTTCGTCCAAAAAACGCCAGAAATGATTTTATGTAGGTGTTGAAGAATAAAAACCCACCCATGAAAATTAATAGTATATATATGTATATATAAATGTTATTTTTTAAAAAAAAGGATGTACTACAATATTTTATTTAAAGATGGCGTTTTGTTTTAGAATTGATAAAGTTATTTAATTTTAAATGTATATATATATATATATATATATATATATATATATATATATATATATATATATATATATATATATATATAAATTAGTAGAATTTTAATTATATATATATATTTTAATAATATATATATATATATATATATATATATATATACATATATAAGTAATTTTTATTATATATATATATATATATATATATATATATATATATATATATATATATATATATATATATATATATATATATATATATATATATATATATATATAAGTTAATATATATAAATAAATATATATACAATAATATATATAATAAATTAATATGTATATAATAATTATATATATATATTACTTATATATATATATAAGTAATTTTAATTATATATATATATATATATATATATATATATATATATATATATATATATATATATATATATATATACAAATTAGTAGTAAATCACTTAATAATTTTATTTTTATTTTACACTGTGTTTCATCAATAAAGACTCATCATTAATGAATGATCGAATTAATAAAACTTCAATTTATACCAAAAAATTAAATTACAGGAAGTTGCAAATGTTTTCACTACTTTAAAATTTCACACATTTGTGGAATTTGCTGATACTGTTATAAAAAGAATTCTTTAGAAATGATTACTTATACTTTTAAAAAAATACTTTTAAAAGGGGGATTTAATGTACTATTATTTGAGCTCACTTATTTTTATAGTTTTTTAGAAGAAACTTATTTTCGTACCTGCATTTAGAAATCCATTCCTATTTTTTGTTTAATAAGCATTCGTGTAATTATTTCAAATTGTTCTTGTAGACATTGTATGCATTTTTTGAAAAATATTGTTGTATGTTTTAAAGCTGGACTTATTCAGAATAAAATCACCAATATTTTTATCTTTTAGTTCCCATATAAACTTTTGACAGCATAGTGTCTTTTGAATACTTTTCATTTTTAAAAAATTGCTTATGATTGGCAAAACGTTTTTTCCATTTACCCTCTTTATGCCAATATATTGTTTATCGGGTAAATTTTTAGAGGAAACAACACATTTATATAACACATTTTTTGATAAACAACTTTGAACACTTGTTTTTTTGTTTACAATTACAATTTTCTTTAGTTTTTTCATTTAGGATTTCTTTTTTATTTAGCAAAGCATTATTGTGACCTTTTATAATTCTTTCCATATTTTTTGTGCAACAGCTTACTTTAATTGTATTTCGAATAAAAATTTTATGTAATTTATTACATAAAATTTTTAATCAAGGGAGGGAAATGCTTATCGACCAATTTTAAAAACACTTTTTTTATGCTAGTGGAAATATTTTTGCTATATGGGGTGTTGAACCAACTTACATTTCTAGTTCTATTCTGCTTTTTTTATTCTAGTCAAATTTTAGTTCAAAATTTTCAAAACCACTTTTTTAAGGGCATCTTCAAATATTCATTTGGAGGAATTAAATACATTTTCATTAGAGGAGTTTTGGTTTAGCCTGTTATTATTTGAAATCAGGGTTTGTTTTAGAATTTGTGGTGGATGATTATGTTTATTTCGATTTGAAAGCCAATATTTTAAAAAACTTTTATAATATCTTTATAATTTATAATTTGCTCTTTTGCAAAGTAAAAGACTTTGAAATTAAGTAAATATTTTATTGGTGATTAAATGATTGCCTAAAATTTATATAAAAAAATATATTTGTCAGCAATGTTGACTAGAAAATTTATATTTATTTAGTTAAAATGATCAATGAAAGTATTTATGGTATTTAGTATTAAAGGATACATCATTATTTGATGCAATATATTGTAGATGTTGTGTGGATTTCAATGTTAAACTGTTTTTCTCCAAAAAAGCTTTAGCCAAAAAGATAAATAAATTAGTTGGCACCATCAGTAAGTTAAAGAAACAACAAAAAATTATCATTAAAAGTTGTTAATTGTAGGCTTTTTTCCACCTTTTGCAAGTTTTCCTCATAATACAGTAAATGCATCTGAAATTCAGAAACAATGCTATTAAGCAAAAACAAAATGCCTAAAAAAGAAAGGAAAATTTTAAAAAGGAAAATGGAATCTATGATAGATTTAAAAATGGATTATTTTACACATCTAATAAGTTTTGAAAATATGCATAATTGAAGGTATGCAATTTCGAAGAGCTATAAAAGGCAAAAGCGCTCCCTTCTCAACAAAATTTTTGTCGCATAATCTTAGATGTCAAATGTAACAAAAATTTTTTTTTGTAAAACAAAGGTAAAAGAAAGAAAAAGAATAAACTTGTCTTCAGAGGAATTACATCAAAATCTACTTATTGTCATTCAAGCAAATTTAACACCAAACAAACAATCTTTAGGTAATATAAGTAATAATTTAAAGCCTAGTGTAATACATGATGCAGCTGTTGAAAGCAAAAAAAAAAAAAATTAATGGAAAAAATATAGTATGCAAATTTAAACTAATAAATAAAGCAACAAAAAAAACGTTTATTATCAAAATTTATTTACAATCTATCTGATTTTGTAGGTTTTTCTATACAACATTATATAGAGAAAAAGATTCTCTTGAAATCTTGATACACACAAGTGGCACAAATGGTACAAGTTGATCAACTAAACGCTGAATGAACCATATACCTTGTTAAGTATGATAAAGAACCTGATGAAGCATGGTCATTTCCTTTAATAATTGATTTTGAAAAAGGTGATCTTACTCTTACTATAAAAATAAGTAAGTATGTATTTATCTTATTTTTTTTTTGTTATTATGTTCCAATAATTTGTTTTCACTGCATTTGAGTACAGTGGTTTTTATCTTTATAAAAAGTATGAATCATATCTAATATGTTTATATTTACTAATTTTGTTTAATTTAAAGATATTTTTATATTATATATTATTATTTTTGTCTCTATGCTTAACTACACATTGTTATAAATATTAAAATTAAAATAACTTTTACATGAACTGCCTATCACATAAAGTAAAGAATCCAGAAATAGAGGGCTAACCTTAGGCAACATGACAGCTCACTGATGAAGTGCAAAGTCCTATGGCTTACCTTCTTGTTGGTGCACTTCGTTAAGTAAGTTAGATAGTTTTGTCTAATTTATGAACGGAATAGCCAAGGCAAATTTTGTATATATATATATATATATATATATATATATATATATATATATATATATATATATATATATATATATATATATATATATATTATTTATGGGTGGGGAAAATAATAAATTAGTCTAAACAACAGACTCTAAGCGGTTAAATTTCTTTTTGAATCTATGATAATACTGAAATTATTAACAAATCGTTGACTAACATTTTTTTTTACTTGTGCAAAGATAAATTTTAGATTTATCCTTATTTTGTACGTATTTTGACGTTTTCGACCTGTTGTATTTAGGTCCACGTTTTTCACTTAATAATTTATTAATGAAAGTTCAATAAAAGTTAATTTTAAATTAATATTTCTCCTCAAAGTTTTGTTACGCTTAACGTATTATAAGTTGAATCATTTAAAAATTTAAGCCATGTTAAGTTTAAAACTTATTCTACTGTTAAAAAAAATTATATTTACATATTGTTTAAATGATTTTGATTAACGATTCAATTTCTAAAAAAATTTTATTAAAAGTTAACGCGAAAAGTTTTTACACAAAAAAAAAATTATAAAAAAGTTTTTTTTTCGGTGCCAAAAATTTAATCAAATCTTACAAAAATATTTCATAAAAAGTCTATTTATTGAAAATAATAAAAACGTATATATTTGGAACTATATAAGCTACAGAAGTGGTTGAAACCTTTTTGGAAATAAAATATATTAAGGAATCTAATGTATTTAAAATATAAATATTTACATTCGCTCTAAAAGTTGCCTAAACTCCCTACTTTAGGACTTATTTACAAAAATTACTTATTTTGTAAAAATAGTTTGATCGATTTTTTGATTGATTTTGATCGATTTTTATTTATTAATAGTTTATAAAGATATTTTATCAAGTTTTATTAAACTCTAAAATAAAATGATTTTGTTCGGCAGCTTTGAAATATTGTAATAAATAACGCAAACATATTAGTATTAAATTATTTTTTATACTATTAAATGCAGTTTTTTTGTATTTTCATGGTTTAATCTTTTTTAATTTGTAAAATAAAAATAGCAATATGTTTATAAAAACTTATTAATTATATGAACAAGATGTTTTAAATTATTTTTGTGAGCACCAGAACGATGATTCAAATTATTTTAGAGCTCGCATTAAACTCTTGATTGTTAGATAAAGTGTTTAGGGCCCCAATAGGGGCGCAGAGCAGTCAACAAAATATATACCTGTGGCCATTGGTCAACTTGTGATAAATGCAAATATGACATTTTACAGGAGAAGAGTTTGAAAATTTGATTTGTTGCCACAAATCGGGTAATGAAAAATAAATTATTTTCCATAAAAATATTTTTTTTTTTTTTTTAAATAAATTATTTTTTTTTTAAACTACAGCAATCATAGTTTGACCAAATGAAATATAACAAAACTTCATACTCATCTTCAAAATGACTAATTTTGCACTTATCATAAATTGAACAATGGCCGCAGATATATTGGCTTCGTTTTGGTTAAAACAAAGTAGATTAAAAGTATAAACCATAAATAAGAAAATCCAAAAATATTAGCCTCGTTTAATTTGTTGTTCCAGAGATATTGGTATTCAAAGACACATTTTTAGAATAAAAGTATTGACATGATCTCTTTAAATGTGATTTTTTTAATTTTTTTTTTATACACTCTCACTCGATAATTGAGTGAAGAGTGATTTATTATATATTGTTTGAAAACTAGTCAAATATACTTTTCAATAACAATAAAAATAATTTTGATAAACCTTATTAAATTTTAAAAATCAGCCTTTAATTAGAAATACTATTACACTAAAAGTCAATTTTGATGAATCTGGAAAAAAAAAAAACGTTTTAAACATCTCCTTAACTTTGCAAAAAATAAAGTTCAATACGTCTTTAATTAACTGCAGAAAAAAGATATGCATATTTGAAAATGTCTCGTTATACTGAAAATACTATTTTAAAAATTAAATAAATGATCATTAGCTAGTAAATTAGTGTGATACTTAAATCATGTGAAAGATTGTCATTTGAAATTGTAGATGTGAGAATGTCTATGTACCATATTTTAGGTTAATACCTCATCCTGTTCATTAAATATTGCCGACTGTAGCAAAAAATGCTGAAAATTGAAACCTAAATATCTCAAGAACCGTAATTGGTTTGAAGTACCAGCTTTCAGGTTTTTCTAGTTTTCAGTACAACAGTACATTAAATATTAGCACATGAAGGAAAAATTACTTAAAATTCTCCTGTTCTCGTTAGAGCTTTGGATGAAGAAGCAAGACTCGCAAGACCTCAAAGGAAGTCATTGTGTTAAATGTTAACGTTCAATAAACTTATCAGATACAACTATAAGTTTTTTGGTGCTTTCCCCTTTACCCCATTTTTAAAAAATCGAATAAGTTCTCTGAAACTTCATCTTAAAATTACATAAAATTTTAGATATTATAAAGACTTCAAATATATTTATTTTTTGAAATTCATAACACCTTTGTGCAAATATAGAGAAAACAGTTTTAACCACTATTTTGTATAGAACCGTTCCATACAAAATCGTCTCATTTAAAGTAAACTTTTTTAAATTTTGTTTAGAAAAAGATGTTTTGTATTTTTTAAATCTTTCACACATTATGAGCAGTTGTGGCGAACCTCTTGATTTTGAATCAGAACTCTAACCAAGAGTTCTGATTCAAAATCAAGAGGTTCGAAATTTGAAGCCAAATCTAGCCCAATAACATGGAAGACGCTTGAATTACCAAGTACAAGCCTTCTTCCATGTTACCCAGCCCAATAATATGGAAGGAGACTTGAACTAAATGCTTCTCGCGGTGCTCTGTTATAAGACCGATAGGTCTTCGCGGAGTACCTTAAAATTATATATATTTATATAGTAATGCATAAAATTTTGAATAAATTTATTTAACTGCCTGTGGGAATTTTATTACAATTAATAAATATTTTATTTCGCCTAAATGTTATGAAATGAGTTTTGGAATAAAACATTACTTTCCTGACGCAGTAGTTATAGTTCTGGCGCTGCGACAGAACTATAACTACTGCGTCACGGCTGCATTTGATAGCCTGATTATGATTTTAAACAAGGATGTAAAGGATCTCTATATTTAATAGCCGAACTTAAAAGTATTAGTATAATTGTCGAACTTAAAAGTAGTAGTAGTAGTAGTAGTAGTAGTAGTAGTAGTAGTAGTAGAAGTAGTAGTAGTAGTAGTAGTAGTAGTAGTAGTAGTAGTAGTAGTAGTAGTAGTAGTAGTAGTAGTAGTACCTCTTCGTGTTTGATACGGAACCCTTTGCAGCCATTGCAACCGACATATTGAAGAGAAAGAGTCGCAATACTTTTATTATAAGAAAACGTGAGCGAATATGTGTGGAAATATATAACTTATATAAACTTGAAACTATGTAATGTAAAAACATGTGTTCAATTTTACAGATCTACTTTCATTTGAAAATTGTATTGCGGTAACATTTTCAATCTATAGCATTTATTACCGTTTCATAAAGACTTTTATTTATTATAGTTTTAAAATTTTCTAAAGATAACATGCTTGCATGCCTGAGTGGGTAGAGCGCTTCTGAACTAGCCGTGGTATAAATCCTACTATAGGTTACTTTCTTTTTATTCTTTTTCGATTTTTTTAAAAATTCAAAATAAAACATTTATGAAGTTTTATAGATATTACATACATAACATATGTTAAGATATTAAACACTATAACACAGGAAAGGATTTTTAAAAAAGCTATTAATTAAAAAAAAAATCATAACACCGGGAGATATTTATAGTGTGTATGTATTATGATTGAGACATATTATTATATTAACATGGGCACAGATAATTAGTCCTAATAAGCTACAGATGGTCTGAAAAAAGTTATGTTATGAAACTTAATAAAGACAGAGTTAATAAGACAGTTACTCTAGAAAGTGCTATTGTGGAGGTACAAAAAAAAAAAAGAAAAAAAAAAAAGAAAAGCCCCTAGCAAAAAAAAAAAAATTTTAACAATTAAAAACACTTTTTATCTAACTAACTAGCTAACAATATTTGTTTTTTTACTCTGAATATATATGTCCATATTGAAAACATATTGTGTTAAGGGGCGAATTTAAACCCATGCAAAACGGCACCGATGACAGCCCATTAAATCACAGATCTTTCGAATTTATGCATGTAATTAAAAAACAAACCATTTTATAAACTCTTATATCCAATCAATACTTTTCGTTCTCTTGGTTTTCTAATAAGCATGGCTTTATTTCATAGGAATAAAGTTGCGCCTATATATAAACAATATATGTAAACACATATTTTATATGTAAATGTAAAATATTCACTCATATAACGTTTTATACAAAATCGCGTTTAATATAAGAAAACTTTTTTAATAACTACAAATGTACTTTGCTCAAGCTGTTTTGTTTTGATTTTTTGTATTAATGTTGTTGTATTTAAAAAAATTAAAAAAAAAGATTAAAAAAGCACGAAACATATTGTCTCATCCAAGTAAAAAATTTGAAACTTCAATTTTAGATTTGCCCCTCTCTCTTGATAACTTTTGATTGCTAAAACTACGTCATCTTCTTCTTTGCACGGTCGTTTAGATATATGGAAAAAAGCGGGTAATTTTTGATTAAAAAGTTTTGGTCTGATTAGTCCATTAAATAGGAACCGTAAATATTGACGTCTGTACCCGCTGGGAAATTTGGTTTTAATTTATTATGGTGTATACTATTGCACAAAGAAATATTAAGCTGTTACAGATATATCATTTCACGGATAAAAGTTTGTATTTATTAGAATAAATAAACAATTTTAAAGAAACAACATAGTTGCTATATTTAGTCTTCATTTGATTGATATTCTTTATCAATCAAATCAAGTCATCCATTTAATGGTCTAATAATGGTCTATATATATAGACAATGGTCTATATATATATATATATATATATATATATATATATATATATATATATATATATATATATATATATATATATTATATATATATATATATATATATATATATATATATATGTATGTATGTATTATATTTATTTATAATTTTTTTTATCACTACTTTGTCATAGGTTGCAATTTATTATAGGGAATGACGTTAGACAACTTGAAATTTACTTGCTTATATCTTTTTTTAAGGTTAAGCATGAAACTTGAAATTTTTTGAATTATTTAGTTTAACTCAGCGTCTTTTTTAACCATATATAGAAAGTTCTATGCTTTAAATGGCTTATATATTTTACTTTTGAGAGTTTTAAGTTCCAACTTGCTGCAATAAAAAACATGTTGGTAGATAGAACTGCACAGTTCTCTAATGATCCAAAAGAAAATTTTAATTTTCTTTTGGATCATTAGAGAACTAATTACTATATAAAAAAATTTTTCTAGTCATTATTATTGCGGTTTTTTTAAAAAACAATAAAATTTAATGTACTTCCGCATCAATTTTATTGCTTTGACATTTCGACGGCTATAAAATGCAGCTTAAAGAGACAAGGTAAAAAAATTGTTGTCAAAAGAGACTTTTTTTTACCATAAAAGTCTCTTTCGACTACACTATAAGGATATATATATATATACACTATAAGGATATATATTTATATATATATATATATATATATATATATATATATATATATATATATATATATATATATATATATATATATATATATATATATGTATATATATGTATGTATATATATATATATATATATATATATATATATATATATATATATATATATATATATATATTGTTTATATATATATGTATATATATATATATATATATATATATATATATATATATATATATATATATATATATATATATATATATATATATATATATATATATGTATATATATATATATATATATATATATATATATATATATATATATATGTATATATATATATATATTTATATATATATATATGTATATATGTATATATATATATATATATATATATATATATATATATATATATATATATATATATATATATATATATATATATATATATATATATATATATATATATATAAAGATGAATGCTTTAATATATTAAAATATTATATTTTAGGAATCATCATTAGATTCAGAATATAATTCTGTCGGTTGCTATTTCAACATATAATTTAAGAAAGCTGGATAACTTTGCTTTAGAGTGTGTTCGGTTAGTAACTTTTAGTTTAAGTAAGTTTTAATTTAGTTTTTGAAGTTTTCTTTTAAATTTGTTCTCCTTAAAATTTCTAATTATTTTTCCTACAAGAAATACAATGAAAAGACCTGAAAATGCTGTTTTTATGTATGTGTTAGCAATTTATATTTGAACTTGGTTATAATCTACTCTATTATGTTTTCGCATAAAATTGTTTATTTTATTGTAAATTTTTAGGTATGCGATATCGAGTGAAGCTGCTGCAGCTCTTGGTAATGGACTTTTAAAAGATCTTGGAGTTATTACTAAAACTGATAAAACTGATGTTTTAGATGAAAGTAAAATGGATCAATCTAAAAAAAGGGTTTGCCTTCAGTCTGTTGCTGAACACAATATCATAGTGCAAAATCTTTTATGTATTGGATGTGACAGTAAGGATGATAAAGGTAGCCTGGTTTATAGAAGTATGTTGCCAGATAGTATTAGCAAAAAAAAAAAATTAATAGAAATGGTTTATCATCTAAGTTTTACAGTAGAATCGGGAGAAATGAAAGGTAGATATCTGACACAAAAAAGATATTTTAAATGCCACAAGAGAAAATTTAGCGCTGTCTGATTTTGAAGTGTTAAAACAATACAACAGTGTTGATTCTTTTTTAGGAATTGTTTTCTAAAATACAAATGTCAACACTGGATATAAAACTGGCCTTTGTGCCAGTCTTGAAAGAAAATTTGGCAGAACAATTCATAAAATTGGCTGTGCACTTCATAGCAACGAGTTACCTTTGCGCCATATTATAGAACAGCTAGATGGCGGTACAAACACTCCGCAAAGATTTTTTGGTGAAATTGGAAAAGGTGCAGCACAAGACCTTCATCATAAACCCATTACCAAATTCGAACCTGTTTTAACTTCTTTAGTTATGCCAGAAAAGAGTGTGATCAATGACTTAAGTTCTGATCAAAGGTTATTGCTAGAATAAGTGTGGTATAAGTTCAGGTGAGCATATTTTAAAAATATATAACATAAAAATTAATCTACTTAATGTATTTAATTACAGACGTTTACTCCTATTATAATTTATTGTTAAAAAAGAACATTTAAATCTATTTAAATTTAAGTGTTGTAAATCTAGTTTACGCTCATTATAAAATTGATCCAGTTAATCATGCTAGGTGGCTGACATTAGCAATACGTATTTTAGTTTTGTATTCAAGAGCAGAACAACCTACTCCTGTCCTTAAAGAGATAGAAATTACATACAGACAGAGTATGGCCCCACATGGTTTGCTATTAAGAAATCAAAGAACTTTACTGAAAGGTCAAAAATTTTATACACAACATTAAAAATTTAAAAAAATTTAAGCCAAACTATACCAGACATTATACTACCTGTTGTTTTAAGAAATGCGTATTGTCTTCTCCCAGAAAACTTTCTTTTATCCTTTTTTGTTGATGATTTGAAAGAAATACGAAACAGAGTAGTTAGGCTGATTTTAAAATGTCGAGATAATCCTCCGGCTGCCCCAGTTGATAGAATATATGGTGGTATCAGAATTAAAAAAATCCCAAATATTGAAAATCTTGAAATTGAATGTGACACATGGGCAGATCTGCTTTCTGATGATAAACTGATCTATGAACCTCCTGCTACTAAAAACCTGACTTATCAGGAACTACTCAATACAATTGAATGTAAACTAGATCCTTGTGAGCTTGGTTGGGACTTTCCGTTACATAGTCAGTCTGTTAAGCGTGCTGTAAAGCATGTTTCTGAGGTTTTAAAAAAAGTCTATAGTCTTTACAGAATAGACATGGTTTAGCAGTAGGGAAGCAAAAAAGCCGAATATTAAGAAAATAGTTTTATTTGAAAAAAGATTACGTTATATAGTATCCATTGTTTTTAATTTTCTCAACACTCCTATGCTATAATTTATAGTGTTATAACAAATTTTAAAGTTAACTAAATAATTAAATTTTTTGTCATAATTAAATTTTTTGTCTATGTTTAAAGTCTATCTATTTATATTATATAAGATATTTGAAATATTTATTAGTTGCTAATTTTTTTAACTATTGTTAAATTATACTTAGGAAGCTAAGGCCGGGCTCTACTTGGTATATGGAACGAATGCACTTGAGGATCTGAGAATATTTTGAAAACTAATTATTTTTTTCAATCTAAAACCAAATACTTTTGTTTAGCTGTAACGTTGTATAATGAGTGTTAAATTTAAATTTTATAATACCTAATTTGAGCAAGAAATTATCCCTCTTTGTTTGATAATCTTCGAGTATTTAAAAAACTAAAAAAAAATTTAAAAATTGTTTAAAAAAAGTTTAATTACTTTTTCAAAAACGCAACTACTTTTTTGCTACCTTTTTTCACAAGTTCATACAATAGTGACGGATCCAGGGGGAATGGAAAGATGCATGAACAACCGGAATCTGAAAGTACTAAAATTTCTTAAAAATAGAGGACCTATTTTTTTTTTAGGAAATTTAAATCTCATACAAAATACAAAAACAAATTCACCCCCACCCCCCACCTCCACCACCACCAAAAATTCTTGGATTTGTCACTGTCATGCAACCCTGTAAAATTCAACCTCAACTTGTATTTAAACTGTTTTATAACTAAAAATAGTATATAGTTAAAGGCTGCAAAGTAAGACCGGGAATGCCACAGTTTTTATTAATTAAAAAAAATTAAAGAATTATCTAGCAACGTATGGTTTGCAGTTTTTAAGTTTAAAGTTAGGGGTAACTGGAAATTTTCGGTAATGATTTTGCTTATTTATAACGACACAGCAACATTCGTACTGTAAATGGAAGCAAGAAATCTAAAAAATCGGAAAATATAAAATCACTTTTTTTGGATTACACTCTTCAATTGTTGCATAGATTTTTAGTAAAATTGACGTTTTTACTGAATTTTTCTTTTTATTTGCGAAAAATTTGGCTTGCATAGAAAAAAAGCAAGATTGCTCTTATTTCCTGACATGATTTCCCAGCTATCTGAGGGCACAGCAAGTTAAAATTTCGAAAAAAGTACAAAATCGACCTCCCTTAATATATATATAAATATATATATCAAACATTAAAATTCAAACTTTTTTTTTAATTAAAAAAATTTATAATATTTATGATAATTAACAAAACATTATATATATATATATATATATATATATATATATATATCAAACATAAAAATTCAAACTTATATATACATACATATATATATATATATATATATATATATATATATATATATATATATATATATATATATATATATATATATATATATATATATATATATATATATATATATATATATATATATATATATATATATATATATATATATATATATATATATATATATATATATATATATATATATATATATATATATATACATAAACGGCATTTATCATCTTTTTTTATATATGTAGACTGCCAACAGACACTATTTTGTCAGAATACAGCATGAATGGTCTAAACAAAAAAAAGTTTAAAGAGTTGACAAATCTATGTAACGCTGTCACTGGTATTCTTATTAGCTTATTAATGTGTTTGAATAATTTTTAAAATTAAAATTGTTTTAATAAAAAAAAAAAAAAAAAATTTTTTGGCTGTGGAACGTGACTTGTATTCAAGTATATTTTATCTTATGATCTTATTGAAATATGTGTTGTTGTTTTATCAGAAGCTGCTTTAAAGTAAAATAAAAACTTAACCAAAATGGATGCCATCCAACTTATTGGGAGAGTAATTAGGCATTCTTCTAACCAATTAAAGAGAACATCCACTAATATGGATATCGATCAATGATGGCTTAATTAGCTGTTGTATTTTTTATTTATTTATTTTTTTTTAGCAATTTTCTTCTATTCATAATACACTATCGATTATACTCTACAGAACCTATTAGTTTTTAATTTGTAACTTTGTTTGAAAAATTTTTCTTATTTTTTGTAAAGTTATCAATTTATTTTAAATATATCAAATTATACTTTATTTACTTTGATTCCTTTTTATAACTTCCTTTGCCTAGATTAAATCAAACCTAAGGTGTGTGTTGTAAATCATTGCATTTTTATATCACTTTTGAAAGAATGTCTTGCTAAAACTGGGACGTCTCTAAGACGTCTGAGTAAGACGTCCTTAATTCTTATATATGAGACCAGCTAGAGACGTCTCTAGGACGGCTGCAAAAAACGTCTCTAGGACGTCTTGAAAAGACGTCATTAGAACGTCTGGAATTGACGTCTTCAAGTCTTACATTTGAGACCAACTAAGGACGTCTTACGGATGGACTTAAGACGTCTTAGGACGTCAAAATGCCTGCTGGGAAAGGGTTAAGAATGGTAAAAAAATTAGTTCATGAAAACCAATCCTTAAGAGTGTTCCACAAGGAGGTGGACTCAGCCCAGAATTATTCAACTCTTACACAAGAGAACTCCCAATTTTTATAAAATTAGAAATATATCAGTTTGCTGACAATATAATAACATCTGAAGTTGGCTTATCACTTCAAGTAATTGCAGAAAATTAATACAAAAGATTATTGTGAAAAAATGAAATTGACTATAAACACAAATAAGACCCAATTAATTATTTTCAAACCACCCAGGAAGCAAATACCTGCTGACTACCAAGTTCTATTAAGCCTGAAAACAATGTAAAATAATTAGGAGTAACATCGGACCAGCATCTAACCTTTAAACAGCAGATCGAGTCAATAATAAAAAAAATGCCACTCTTCTCTGGGAATGTTGGTAAAAGCATCAGCTAGCCTACCAAAAAAATTATTAAAGTTGGCCTACAACAGAATGGTGAATTTATTAGTTCACTCTATATTTCAATACCAAACACCCATATAAAAAAATTAGATGTAGTACAAAAACAAGCCGCGAGAATCATTTTCCCATGCACCACGAAATTCCCATGCTGCACCATTAATTAAAGAACTTGGTCTTAAAGCACTAGCGGATCAAAGAACGGATCATGCAATGAGAATAATATTGATAATGAAATGAAAACAACATTGATAATGAAAAGAAGATATAATTGAAAATGAAATGCAGAAAAACATTAAATATTAAGAAAATGGAAAAAGAGATCGATGACTTAAAGGAAAGTATAAACTTTCAAGAAGATATGGTTATAAAAAAAATAAACGAAATAAATCATCGCATCGACAATCAGAAAAGAATCTCTAACGAAAATGAAAATATGAAATCAGAAATACAATCAAAAACTATAAATGTAATAAATGAAAAACTAATAGATCTAGAAAATCGTTTTAGATGAAACAATCTAAGAATTGATGGTGTCAAAGAAATTCAAGGCAAAACATAGGATGAGTGTGAAAAATAGTTAAGGATATATTTTCCAATAATCTTAAAATCAGCAAAGACATTATAATCGAAAGAGCACACAGGCCAGGACCATTAAAACAAGGTAAAGAGCGAACGATTATCATCAAACTTTTAAATTTCAACAACAAAAAGTTAATTCTACAAAACTCAAAAAAACTACGCGGAACTGGTGTGTTTGTAAACGAAGCAAAGGAAACAATAGAAAAGCGTAAAAAACTCTGGAATGAAGTCGTTAAATTGAGAAAAGAAGGTAAATACGCTATTCTCAAGTTTGATTTTATTTTTTGTAGAGATCATAAAAGATAATTTTTTTTTTTTTTTAAACATATAGTGTTAAGAAAGTTCTTCTAATTTATAACTTAATCATAATGTCTGAAACAAATTCGTTTACTTTTAATTTTTCAGAAATGAGACACTCTTCTGATGAAAATTTAGATCCAGATATTAATTATTTCAATGACATTATTACGGATTGTTCATATTATTATCCTAACAAATTAGAAGAGTTTTCTTATAAAAATACAAAAACAATAATTTTGATCAACTAAGAATTCTTCATATAAATATCAGAAGCCTAAACCGCAATTTCTCAAGAGAGACTTCTCAATAAACGCGGCGGAGGAGTTCTTATTTATGTAAAGAAAAGTATTGCGCATTATGTTAGGAATGATTTAAGTATTTCTGACGGCGACAAAGAAATTTTAACCTATTGAAATTCTTAACAATCAATCTAAAAACATTTTACTGATCAGTAAAATGTTTTTAGATTTAGTTTTTAGATTTGATCGGAGACCTATAGCTCAGCTGAGCTGTTGCTATAGGTCTCCGATCGGTGTGGCTGAGAACATGAACATGTATTTTGAGCTTCTTTGAAAAAAAGAAGAATTTTATTGTAGGGGATTTCAATATGAATTGCTTCCACTACTCTACGGACATTAAAGTTAAAAATTTTTATGATTCTATTTTTGAAATGGGCAGTGCCGTGCCAGTGACAGCTGGTGGGCCCTCCCCCCAAAAGTGGGTTTTGGGCCCCATTAAAAAGTTGAGATAAAAGACAGAACATGTTGGTATTACTCATTCCACATGCATGATCAGATAATTTTAAAGCCGTTTAGCTCAAGTGGTAGAGTGCTTGTCTCTCTAATCGAGTCGACTCAAGAGATCCGGGTTTCAAAACACCCTCTGGACAAGATTTCTACAACGGTTAGGAAGGAGGCGTGAACTTCTTAATAAATGCTTTTCCACTGTGCTCTGTGAAAAACTTCTTGGAGCACCTAAAAACAAATTATTAATAAAAAAGATATAGAAACTTGATTTTTTTTAACTGCTTGCTACAAAACTTTATTTACAAAGTGTTATTCAATGAGGCTCAACTAAATGCTTTCGACGAACTTTTGAGTCTGCAAAGACCTTAATAAGGTGGTCACAGTTTATCTTCCGGGCACAGTCACTTTCTATTAAGAGCATGGCTAGAGAAGACAGCCGATCTTGCGTCATTGTTGAGCG